AGAGAATCAGAAGTAGATAGTAATTGTATTTGTCTGTGTGCCTATATCTTGTTAAAGTTTAACAATGTGATCTATTTAGCTTGTAGATGCTAAACTTCTGTTCCTGTCTAAAATATTTCATTACTATAGTCTATTGATTCAGAGATCAAAAAGGGATATTAACAATTAGATGGAACTTGTGGTGTAATATGTGTCTTTATTTTACTTTGAAGTTTGTAGTAAACTACCTATGAACGTTTGAATGGTGAATAGCCTTATGCTAATTAATGCAACTAGTTATTGGTGTATGCCTAGGAAACAGAGATGTACTTCAAAGCAACAATGTACATTACCTATTCTTAGGGCCCTACCAAATTCATGGCCATGAAGAACATGTCACGGACCATGAAATCTGATCTCCCCTGTGAAATCTGACTATTGTAGGGGAAACCAGATTTCAGAGAGTTGGGCAGCCAGAGAGTGGCAGCTGCTGGCCGAGAGCCCATCTCTGAAGGCAGCAGCGCTGCCAGCAGCAGCAGTGCAGAGAGTGAGGTGGCCCCCCGCACTCTACCCTGTCTTGGGTTAGGAGTCCTACTGTTACAGTACTGTGAAATTTCAGATTTAAATATCTGAAATAGTGAAATTTATTATTTTAAAAATCCTATGACCATGAAATTGAACAAAATGGACTGTGAATGTGGTAAGGCCCTACCTATTCTTCATCCAAGAAATGGCTGCTGTGATCATTTGCTGCCAAAAGGCTTATCATCTGAACTTCAGCTGGAAAGGATCTTTTAGGCCTGATCTTTACTAGCTCAGATCTGCTAAAACTTTGTCAGGGGAAGTCTAAGTCCCAAGACTGAGGTCTCTAGGTCTATTCTGGATTATCCCTGCAATTCTTCTGGAAGAATTTGAACAAACTCTACACATGGACTGCCTATTGGACTATAATCAATTGAACTGATTCTAAAAGGACTTTTATGAATCAGCAGCCTCACCTGCTCTGCTATGAAACTGACCTAAGAACTTTATTCATATCTGTATGTACAATGATCTTTTAACATAAGAACAGCCCTACTGGGTCAGACCAAAGGCCAATTAAGCCCAGTATCCTGTCTTCTGACAGTGACGAATACCAGGTACCCCAGAGGGAATGAACAGAACAGGGAATCATCAAGTGATCCATCCCTATCGCCCATTCCTAGCTTCTGGCAAACAGAGGCCAGGGACACCATCTCTGATCATCCTGGATAATAACCATTGATGGACCTATCCTCCATGAATTTATCTAGTCCTTTTTTGAAGGCTGTTATAGTCTTGGCCTTCACAACATCCTCGGGCAAGGAGTTACACAGGTTGACTCTGCGTTGTGTGAAGAAATACTTCCTTTTGTTTGTTTTAAACCTGCTGCTTATTGATTTAATTTGGTGACCCCTAGTTCTTGTGTTATGAGAAGTAAATAACACTTCCTTATTTACTTTCTCCACACCAGTCATGATTGTATAGACCTCTATCATATTCCCCCTTAGTCATCTCTTTTCCAAGCTGAAAAGTCCCTATCTTACTACGCTGTCCTCATACAGCAGCTGTTCCATACCCCTAATCATTTTGTTGCCCTTTTCTGAACCTTTTCCAATTCCAAAATATCTTTTTTGAGATGGGGCGACCACATCTGCATGCAGTATTCAAGATCGGGGCATATGATGGATTTATATAGAGGCAATATGATATTTTCTGTCTTATCTATCCCTTTCTTAATAATTCCCAACATTCTGTTAGGTTTTTTGACTGCCACTGCACATTGAGTGGATGTTTTCAGAGAACTATCCACAATGACTCCAAGATCTCTTTCTTGAGTGGTAACAGCTAATTTAGACCCCATCATTTTATATGTATAATTGGGATTATGTTTTCCAATGTGCATTACTTTGCATTTATCAGCATTGAATTTCATCTGCCATTTTGTTGCCCAGTCACCCAGTTTTGTGAGATCCCTTTGTAGCTCTTTGCAGTCTGTTTTGGACTTAACTATCTTGAGTAGTTTCGTATCATCTGCATCATCACATGCTCCTCTGCTCCTATTGGCTTTCTCCCAGACCTTAGTTTAAAAACTGCTCTACAACCTTTTTAATTTTAAATGCCAGCAATCTGGTTCCATTTTGGTTTAGGTGGAGCCCATCCTTCCTGTATAGGCGCCTCCTTTCCTAAAAGTTTCCCCAGTTCCTAATAAATCTAAACCCCTTCTCCCTACACCATTGTCTCATCCACACAGTGAGACCCTGCAGTTCTGCCTGTCTGTCTAGCCCTGCGCGTGGAACTGGAAGCATTTCAGAGAATGCTACCATGGAGCTCCTGGACTTCAATCTCTTACCTAGCAGCCCAAATTTGGCCTCCAGGACCTCTCTCCTATCCTTCCCCATGTCATTGGTACCTACATGTACTACGACCACATAAGTCTATCTAGCTGTCTTGAGGGATCCACAACCTTCGCACCAGGCAGGCAAGTCACCATGCAGTTCTCCTGGTCATCGCAAACCCAGCTATCTGTTTCTAATGACTGAATTCCCCATAACTATTCCCTGGCTGCTCCTAATAACAGGAGTTCCCTCCCCTGGAGAGTAACTCTACAGTAACTCTCTTGTCTTATTAACTAAATCTAACTTTTATTTTAAAAGAATTGGCTATAAGCATGTATTGGGGTAAGAGCTGAAATATTCATTGCCCTGGTGCGTAATGGGTCTGATCTCTTGGGGCTGGTAGAACTTTATATATGGTGAATAGATTTTAAGTAACCCTCACTATATAGACTTGGTTGTCTGGGTGGGGGCCAAAGGCTGGATTGCTTAAAGGGAACGGTATTTTGGCTCCTTGGTAACCAGTATAGTATTGGAAAAGCTGTTGTTACTGCCTTGGTGAATCTAATTATGAGACTGTACCACCATTTCTGGGGATTGTCTGCCCTGTTCTTTGCAGTTTGTCCTGATTGAGCATTCTCAGTATAGCCCCTTCAGTGACCCAGGTCACATAATACAGAGCAGGGGGCTGGACTAGACCTCTGCAAGTCCCTTCTAGGCCTATGATGTAGGCCACAGCAAGCGAACTATGCTCCCGATGATTATCCCCCCCTTACCTGGGGGCTGATCCTTTGCCGTGTTGGCCTTTGCCCCCAGGGGAACTGTTTCAACAACATTTTAACAAGCCCCGGGCAGGTGGCTGGAGCCCACCGCTGCAAGCCCTGCCGGGGGGTGGGAAGACGGGACGTGGGCCGAAGCGCCTCTGGGTGCGCTCCCGCAGGCGGGGGAGCTCTGTCCGCTGGGATGAGGCAACAGGCCCCGGCCTCTTGCTGCTGCCTCGTGCTGCCTCCTCCCAACACAACCATCCCCCGATCCTCGCGAGCCCGTCCCAGGACCGAACCGGGCTGCGCGGGGAAGGGCGGCCCGCGTCTCCCGGACTGAACGGGGGGAAGGCAGGAGTCCCGTGTCCTGGACACTGTTACCTGGGGCAAGGCAAAGAACCGCCCGGCCCCGGCCCCAGGGGAGCCCGGCCGGAGCCCGCCCCTCAGAGCGAGCGAGGCGCCGGAGCCCGGCCCCGGACGTGCGCCTCCCACTGCCCGGAGATGGCGGCTCGGGGCCCGGGCCGCCTCCTGCTCCTGCTGGGCCTGGCCGCCGCGCTCTGCCTCCCGCGGGCCGCCCAGCCGCCCCCCGGCGCCTTCCAGGCCGGGC